TTTCAACACAGACATTGACAACCTTCGGCCTTCTGTCAAAGGGTTCATCTCACTCATTATTCCATGACCACCATTTTGTGCAATCATCAAGTGGCTTCACGATGTAATGCTATAATGTTTTTAAATAATTTTTAATCTGTTTTTAACTTGTTCTTGTCATATTTTATATAATTTTGACCATTGTACCATCTATCCAGCTCTCTCCATGTTACTGGACGTTTCCCTCATCCTATACGTAAACAAATTAGCAACATCCTCACATACTACTGTAAGTTGAGTCAATTTAAATTCATTTTACACTGTTGTTGCTACTGTTATCATTGTAATTGCAGCTCCTGATGATGATGGCAAAGTCCATTGAAAGCTAGAGAGAATTAAAAAAGTATAAAGAGTCCTCTTTGCTTAGATTTTGTCGAAGTACCCAACAAAAGGCGGAAGCTTTAATTTTTCACCTATATATATATATATTTCTATTAATGGCGCACAGCCACAATAATTGCCCATAAGGATAGGGTTATTAAATAGCTAATACAGCTGTGGCGCCTCCAATCTTTGGGGGTTGTTATGGGACTTTTTAGAGTCTGGTTGCCGGGTTCAGGTGATTATGTTCATTGCTCGGTTTCCTTTAACAGGAGTGATGTCCGAGCGTTTTGGATGTTGACAGGACGGCTTTTTGTCGACGTGACCTTCCAGGTCTGTGTGACCGCTTAACCTCAACTCTTGGCAATCGGTAGAGTCTTAATGGATCTGAAGGCGGAGTGTGTGTAGGGATTCTTACTTTAAAGTTGTTATGTTGCTCGGTTATCTCTGGATCAGAGGTAACGTGGGGAGCTTTTGGATATTGACACGGTAACGTGACATCCTAGATTCTGGATTACCTTTCATAACAATCATTAATCTCGGCATATCTGTCCATACACCTGGGTATCAACATAGGCCAGTGCGTGCTTAAATCCTATGTCACTTAGGCTTGTGTGCTTAAGCCCTAATTTGTCCGGATATTGATTCGGAGAAGGACTGTATGCCCCAGGGGGCTATGTGCCCCAGTTCCTACGCTCTGCGCACGAGTATATTATATATCATAAATAAATCATCTGTATGATGAATTGATACCACTGCGGATAATCAACATAATCCTAGGTCGTACTTCGAAATCTTCTAAAGCGGGTTTGTTGTCTTCACGTTTATCGTTTTATTATGTTCTTACACATACAATTCGGCAAGTTGACTGTGGGGTTAGCTTTGCAAGCACAGACACGGTGAGAAAGCATCATCTAAGCCAGTCTAGTTACTTTCATGTCAGCCCTTGCGGAAATGGTTTGGAAAAAATAGAAGTTTTGTCAGTTTTTAAGAGATCTACATTTATGGCATTCAAGTGTTTTTAACAATTTTAAACAATTTTCAAACAGTTTGTTCATGTTACACGATATGCAGAATATGAAAACAACATGAGTCGCGATCGTACGTCGGTCCTCTTGGAAACCAGATATAAGTTAAGGAATGCGCTGGTAAACGTCTAAAGCACACTTCCAGGCAAATTGCTCAAATCGGCAAAAGTGCGTTTAACATTTGCAGCAGGCTACAAAATTCAGAGGACGGCGAATTTAGGTGCAGTATTTTTACTGACACCTCCGATGAGGTAATAAATATTGATGATAATTTTTAATGAATCAAATGAATCCGCTTGCGTTAAGGTCTATTCACACTCAACCGTGACGTGCCAGTGATTCTCGCTGACGTGAGATAACAGTGTTTTCAATTCACACCGGTCAGTATTTTTCTCCGTACTCTGGCGGTGCAGTTGTGTTCACGTGAGGTCGAGATGGCAAAATTTTCAGAGGATGAACTTGCAATTTTTGCTTTAATTCTGGATTTTTTCATACTCCAACTACGACGAATGCCTAAACACCTATAGGGTACCATGGTGCTATAGGGGGAGACACAGGGGAACGGGGGATCGCTGCCCGGACTCTGGCGAGGGAACACGTGTGCATGCAACATGCACTCATTCTGGCCCCGCCTACGAGATCCACCGGCTGGTACCTCCGAGTTTGACAGTCAGAGACCGTCTACCACCTACGAAAGATGAAGAAGTAAAAACGAGAATAAAACGGAAGTCCTTGTATTCTGCAATTGACTGGTTCTACAGCACGGGATATACGCGTACAAGCAATGTAATTATTGCAACTAGCATGCTAGTTGGTATGTGGCATACAACTAGCAGGTCCATGGCTAAGAGGATAGTGGCATGTGACTTGCAACTAGCCCGGGCCAATAAATTAATGTATATTCGCAAACTGCAGTTGCGGTTGTAGCTATTATCTATATTTTTACATATTTGGTATTTACAACATTTGAAACTTATCCTGTGGTTTGTCGATCCCCATGCTTGTCTAGCCAATAAAACCATCACCACCACCATCCTTTGACATGTCTTCTTTACGGTAAAACCGTTTCAATCACAATGGTGGCACAATGACAATATGAAGGAGGTCACCTTTGTGATTGAAACGTTGACTAGGGTAAATGTAAGGTGGTTTTATTAGCCATACAAACATGGGGATCACTGATAATTACTATTTCCATTTTGTATTTTTACTTTTATCAGTATGTCAATACATACACAGGGTGTAAACGTTATGGTAGTTATTATTGAAATAGGTAATAGGGGGGTCAAAACAAGTCAAAAAGTTCATATGACCTATGGTCCAAAAGTCAATAGATTTTTGTCTAAATGATTTTATAGTTTACAACTTTTAGTGTTTTATATCGACCACAATCACCACAATCTTCCTAATTTTTATAATCTAATCTAAAACGTTTTCAAATTGGGTAATTAACAATTAAATGGCATTAAGTTTTTCTAAGTTAAGCCAAAATTTGTAGTCAGTAAGAAAGTAAGTTTCATTAAATTGAATATTTAAAACACACATGACAACAGCGCGTCGGTCATCATCACTCTTATTGAACCGGCAATCGTTCGCAAACGGTAACAGTGGTTAGTTATCCTTTTGCATAGTTTTGCGGCGTTGTCAGATTTATTTTACTTAAAAGTCGCTTTTCTCTGAAAAAATGCTTCTTTTAACCCCCTCTATCACCCATTTAAATAATGACTATCATAACGTTTATACCCTGTATTATATCTATACATATATAATCTAAATCACACATTTTATTCCTGCTACCGCAATTTCATACTTATATATCTTATAAGTGTATGGGGCGTATGTATGATCTATTTTCGGCTCATTGCTTTAAAATCGTGGATAAAGTATTTTTTCCAATCGGTTATCGATCCCTTTTAGAGCAACAAGGTTCAGCCTACCTGAAATTCGTAGCTGATAAAATGCTTGCAAAATTTCATTGATTTGCTCATTTCAACGAACTGCAACAACTCCCGTTTCTTGTGATCACTGGCGCTCCCACGGGGGGGGGGGGTAAAGGGGGGTTATTACCCACCCAGACGACTCGAGCAGTCTTTGAAAAGGTGGTATAAAGTAAACGTCTTATAAAAACTTGGCTGCGCTCCACTATGTTACACGAGCGATTAGTGGGTTTAGCTCTTTTGTATATGCATAGGGATATTAAAATAGACGTGAATACAGTCATAGATCGGTTCGCCAGCAAAAAGAATAGGCGCCTTGATTTTGTAATATGATAACACCTGAACTTTGCCTAAGGTTGTCTCTCAAATCCATCTCCATTCTGTTGGCCAATAAATAAAAAAGCATATGTAGTTAAGGGTTTACTTACGTTTAAATCACCACGGTGATCTTTTCCAAAGTATTCAATCAAGATATGTGGTTTTATTTATTGACCAGCCAATTGATATAAAAGTCTGTTCAAATCACTTTCTAAGCTAATGTAATGATTGTTTTATTTTGAGACTGTGAACTGATGCAGTTTCATAGTTTATGCTTTTGTTTTTCGAGACTGGCTAAGAGAATGTAGTTGTGCAATGAATATTTTTTGTTTTTCTCATGATTAATAATTTTATTTTGACTTACATTCAGTTTTATACTTTATAGAAGTCGTAACATATTATTATATTATTGTTATTTTTTTCATGAAGATGTATTTTTTGTTGTTTTGTCTGACGTACTTATGTAGAAAAGTCTGTGATTGATTATATTATTTTGCATTTTTCTTTTAATATATGAAGATTGCTCGAGCTTGGTTTGCTTTATTTACTCTTTGATTTCGTATGTCTCAAAATTAAAAAAAAATTGTATGTATTTTCTACAGAAATTACTGTAACAAATTCATATGATTGCATATGTCTTTGCTTTTAATGTTAAATCATTATAACACTTCAGTACGTCACACTGAGAATTTACTTTCCATTTTACCCCTCCCAGAAATCCTGGGAGCGCCACTGCCCGTGATTGGGGGCAATCTCAATATTTTCAAAGCATGACCGATGTTACCGACACCTTTGCCTACTCGTATGATGAGGTAATATGAATGATAATTTTTTATATATCTAAGGTTACTGCTTAGTTTAGATTATGTCAAGTCGTTAAAGAGACGCAAGGGAGAGAGCCTGTGATAAGCATTTGTTTAAGCCACATTTATAAAAACCATCAAATGCCAATGACTTGAATAAATTTTGTCAGACACTTGAAGCAAAATAAGTAATTGTGAGTGCTATAGAACAAAATATTGTAAAATCCTGAGGTAAAATTATTTGATTACAAATTTTATATTAGATATTTTTGATTTAAGTTGTGTATTATTCTATTTCGTCACAAATTAGACGACAGACTTGTACTCAATAGCAATTTACAAAAATGCGGAAAAAAATTCTAGAAGCTGATGCAGTATGAAAAACGATTACCTGATTATAATTTTTCAGGATATAAGGAAAGTATTCTGTTTTTGATGAGCTTTAGAGCGATGGGCATGGAAATGCAAGAAAATAAATAATGTTTTGTAAATGCACAAAAAAATCAACCATTACGCTCGAATCTATTTTTATGGTAACCGAATTTTATACTTACCTATTATAGTAATCATCCACACCATGAAGTATGAATAAAATGAGATCCAAACCATTGAAATGAAGAAAGTAAATGGGTACCAGTTCTTGTATTTTTCACTTCTGCAGTCAGGCATAGTTTTCCTACACAGCCAATGTATTGGATATACTAGACCCCAAGAAAATTGTTCGTATAAACCTCCAGCTTCTGAAAAAAGAAATATGTATTTATGAAAAATGTCTTCATAAATATAGAAAGAACTTGTAGTGAACAAGTAGGTTGACTCTGACCTCTCACGCAACTATTTTATCGATTATTATACTATATATGATATATGGAGGGAGGTATGTCTCTAAAATATTCAGAATTATATGTGGGGTCTTAATTTTAAACCACATATCTGAGTTGCTTTTTTTAAATAGAATTGCCTACTTTTTTACATATTCGCATGGAACCTTTTGAAGGAAGAATATTGACATAACTACGTTTTGATTAATCCCCACAATACAGCCTAATTGCAAAATCTGTTCTTAACTGACAACTACTGCCCATAAACTATCTCACAGGCAAAGTATCTTCAGAAGAACACAAATAACTTTCGCACAGACTTGTAAATGCTTATATCGCTCCTTCATCCGTCCCTGTCGCAAAATTCGTTCTTAGATGGTATGTTCTGTCCATAAGCTATTTTTCTGCCAAAACTTACGTTCATAGGTCAGATAGTTTTCGCGATTTCTTGATTAACGCGTGAAGATATCTTCTGTTTTATATATATATATATATATATATATACAGGGTGCGGCAGAGAGGATGGACGGTTTTAAAAAATCATAAAATATTTAATTTTTAGTCGAAAACAAATTTATTGATGGAATCAGGTTCACAAGGAAATAGCATTTGAGGCAGTCAAGTGTGGAAAATTACATCAGGCATGTGGTGGCCGAAATCGTTGATGCAGTGCTGGAGGCGTTCTTGGAAGTTCTCGTAGACTCTCTCCAACATCGCTCTCTCAACTTGGGCGACTTCCACGTGAATTTCGCCCTTCAATTCGTCCAGAGTTCGGGGCTTGTTCGCGTATACTCTAGCCTTGAGGTTACCCCATAAGAAAAAATCGCATATGAATAAATCTGGGGACCGAGGTGGCCAATGAACATCGCCAATCTGGGAATAAGGCGACCAGGGAATAGAGGGCGAATAACGTCCATGGACGCTCGGGCTGTGTGGGCAAAACAATTGTCATGGCTTTTATTTTTCACAGCCACCTATGCGTTATAGACTTATTTTGCATTGAAGTGAAAATATGTTGATATGCTGTAATTGCAACGTGTTATTTTTATGCTGAACATTTGATTAGGGACTGATAATGTTGGTGTTTTCTACTATATACATGTATTATCAAAATATTCATTGTTAATATTTTAAACCTATAACACCCTGCTACATATTTATTATTTGTGTTTGATAAGAAAAAACTAAGATTTCAATAGTTGGGCCAACTTACGTGGGAAGGGGCTCGTATGCTTAAAGAACATTCAGATAAGTTGGTCCATTTATCGACTATAAAAAGCGTTATTTTAGCACGATGGAAGCGCACTACATAACATCTCAGCCGTACGTTAATATTATTTGAATGCAAGGTGTGTATTTCGGTTTAGATATGACGGATATGAAATGTGTTTAGGAAGATACAACATGATCGAGGCTTTTATCTACTGTCAAATATTGTAAAAGTTACAAGGAATAATAATTTTTTCAATACTACCCTTAAATACTATGTTTTTAAGAGTGTCACCATTATGTTATTTTTCTTACTATGAGTTAAGAGCAACCGATATGAAGATTACTATTTCAGACATTTGAAGTTTCATTGTATCAATCTATGTCATAATATGTAGAATATCACATCATTAAAATCGGACAGGCAGACTCTTCACTAGGGTGAGGGCAAACAAATTTTTGTTCGAATTGAGATATTCATACCCTCTAATTTTTCTCCATTTGACTCTAACAACATAAAAAATTAATATTATTGCGATCGGGGAACTTTCAGTCAAACTTTGAATTTCAAAGTTAATAGGGAAAGTATGTATGGATTTCAAAACCTAATTCTTATTCGACAACTAAAACACTGCTTTATTTGTATCTTATATTTCTTAGATATTTATCATTAAAAGAAAATTATTTTCTAAATGTTATTTTCATGTTTTTTTTTACAGTCAGCATATTTATATCTGCCCGAGTTCTTATACGCATCGTAGTAAAAATTGTTTTTGTTCCTCATCAGCAGTGATTAAGCCATGTAAGTCTTCCATTAACTTGACTGCTCTTTCTGGGGTATCGCTAACTGTTCTCAGTATTTGCACCTTGTTCTTAGCGTGTTAAAATATCATTATGATCATTGTGGCCATGAAGTTGGACACTGGTCGAGCTGACAGCAACTTTCAGTCGACTGAACAAGGACTTGCTTTTGATTGGCACAAAGCATACTGGTTTTGTCCATCCGACCACAGACAGTTAACCATGGACATATGCTTTGTGCGTTGTGTTATCAGAGGATTGCATTGGTCCCATGAGAGCTTTTGTTCAGGAAGGCGAGAAATAGAGTTTCTAAACAAATCGACTGGGAGCCATTTTCCATGTTTTGTTTTTTTTGTTCATAGATCAGTGTCCGAGATTTAGTACAAGTTCAACTTGTTCAAAAGTGATAAGGTTCCCCATAGAAATACTCAACCCCCTCCTACCTCATTTAAGGATATAGTTTCTGGAATTCTTTATTAATATTTTTATCTTAGACAAAATATACTCCTACTTGTAGGCTGGCCCAATTTAAAATAGTCTAAGTTCGTCAGCCTCAAGAGTGTTAACTCTCACTTTACCCCTTAAGGGCTGGAATTTTCAAATTTCTTTGCAAGTTTACATTATAGCAAAGAACCAAATACACAAAACCCTTATTTGTAACTCTACCATCAACAATAATAGTTTCTCCATATTAACTGCCACCCCCTATTTCAACCCCTTAATTTTCGAAATGGAAGCTATGCTAAAATTTATCAAAATCAGTTCAGAAGTTTTGGCATAAAAAACAGAACATACACACTTTCACATTTACGAGAATAATGAAATGCAGTAATTGCAACATGCAAATGCCCTATTTGTACACTACATGTCAGACTCCATTAAGCCGTTTGGCCAGTGGTCCGTGAAATGTATATTATTCCCAGGATAAAAAATAGCCTATGTGCTATTCCAGACTATATTCTATCTCTGTACCAAATTTTATCCAGATCCGCTCGGCCATTTTGACGAAATTGAGCAACAAACATCCAAACTTTCTAATTTATAATACTAGTGGGGATTAAAACCAAAACAACGATTAAATTAGTTCACAAAAAATTAAGGACCATGCGGTGAAAAGTATATAAAAAATAGAAATAAGAATAATGGACAAAATCCGCAATAAAGGAAAGAGGATTTGGGCAGAAAATAGGATAGGAAACCCGAGCAATACGTATTTCTGCTTGTTGGCTTCATCACGCCCGACATGAATGCCTGAGGAAACGAAGATGGAGAGGGAACAAACCGACACACGAAGTCACCAACAAGAGCCAATCTACACATTGTACTCGAGGTCTTCTAGCCATTATACTACAGTATATTCAGATAAGAGATAGACCGGACATAAACAACACCACGTGATCATCGAACGCTGTAACATTCGGCAGGGACGTATTAAGAGTCACGCAGTACATATTTTAGATAGTAGATGTTGCTTGGTGATGGATATAGGATCATGTGGGGGTGGGGTAAGAAATATATAATGATGTAAATATACATAAGGGTTTCAAAATTTTCGCTTCGATTTCCAGCTTCGGATGCCGCTTGATGTTTGGTGAAATACAGTCGAATATAATCTCAAAATGGCGTTTAAATTAGCCTAAATTAAAAATAATCGTATATCTCTTAAAATTGCTTTTAGAATATTGATTAGTATATTTTTTGATTTCTAGGTAAATATGTAACCAAATTAAAACGTTCAAAACGTAAAAAAATGTGCATGGTTGAACATTGTCAGAAAGTAGATTCTTGAATAGGTTTTGCCAAAATGGGTTCAAAAATGTCAATAGTTAATTAAAAAATACAGTAGCTTTATAATTACTTATAACTTACCGAATTTGATGAACGACATCTTTTATTGGAAATATGAGCTTGATGAGCTTTCATCATCGCTACTGCCTGAAGCACCAACGTCAATAATGAATGGCTCGACTTGTTCCTCTAAAATATTGTCCAGTTCCCACATTCTCTTTTCAACTTTGTCTTTCACGTGCTTAATACAGTTTTCCCATTTTTGCGCTGTTATTAATTCTAGTGCTTCTTTGAAAAGTCCTTTGAGGTCACAAAATTTAAAAGTTGTATTGTGCTTAGCTATATAATTTTTAACCTCTGCCCATATGAGCTCAATGGGATTGAGCTCGCAATGGTATGGAGGTAAACGGAGCACAGTTTTATTTTGACTTGCTGCCATTTCGTCAATGGCGTATTTTTGATATTCCGCCTTGTGATGCTTGACAATTATTCTTAATAATTGTACTTTCAGCATTGCTTCTTCAAAGTTGATATTTTTCGAGCGGAGACAATTTTGAACATCAACTTTCCTTGAAGCCGTTGTTGGGACCTTCTCCATTCTTCGAGGCATATCAACACAATTACTGCGTTTTCCTCTAAGTTCGGTAAAATTTTTGAAAACCACTGTTCAAACGATTCGCCAGTCATTTCCTCGTGGTAATCTCCAGTTTTCTTAGACTCAAAGCACCACAGACCGTCAACAACAAATCCATCCTCACTGCCAATATGGCAGATAATGAGCCTTTTCCCTTTACCTGGAAATCGAAGTACTAACTGGTGTAGATTTATTTCAATAAGCGAACCTTTTTCAAATGTTTTCATCACATTCAGCGAAAAAACATTGAGACATGAGTATCAGATTGCTATAACTGGGATTATTTAGTCATATTGAAAGAAAGAATATTGAACGTCGTATGATTACTCAGCGCTTCACAATTTAATTTAAAGTTATAAACCTTTAAAAAATGAATGATCAGGAACCTGAAATACGCGCAAATATTAATATTAACAAATTATAACTTTATAAAGCTTAAAGTATGAATTAAAATGATTAGAAATATTAGGAACGGTACACAATATAA